CGCCTTCTCCACACTGTAGCTCGATAGATTTTTGATATCCTTTCGTACAAGGCCTATAGGTGTCTGTTCGAATCAAGGCTCGTTTGATGTCCCACGCACTCCCATATGCCTCTGAGTGACACTACTGCCGATACTGATCCGAACAGTCTTGCCTGCGCCGTTACACTGCGGACGTTATAGCTAAATTAGACATAACTCTCGCACCTATTAAGTAGTATTAGAGAATATAGAGGATAGTAACGCGTCTAAAGAATAATATCTTATTCTACTTAATAAGAAATACTATAATAGTGTTACGTGATATTACTATGAAGGTAGGGTAGAGTGAGAAAGCTGCCGGTTCGGTGGGGCTGCCGGTTCGGTGGTGAAACACGTTATGCCAATTGCCGAGAATGCAGCTGAGAGCTAAGATGCACAATGCAGCTACCCTAACCCGGTTATGTGATCCTCTGATCAAGAGTATATAGTACATCTCAGTACCCTGATTGAATGAATTCATTCTTTCTAAAAATTCTTTTTCTTACTCTTTAATATTCAGCTCAGCCTTGCGCATTAGCTGACACGACTCTTTCTTGGTAGATATCGCGTATGATCTTTAACGATTGAGACTCTTTGTAATGACTTATCTACAATTCTAGAAGAACTGGGAGAAGCCCTTTATCAAGGACAAGGGTTGTATAAGTCGGGTATGCTGGATCAGGCCAATGACATACAAGAACGCTTCAAGGGCGGCCAGGGAAAAGTAAAGAAGGTAACCTAGAACTACCGAAAAATGAGAGCATAGTTACGTTGGATGCTAAATTCTAAGAAAGTTCGAGAGTTACTGAATCATATAGAATCCCTGAATTCGATATCCTTAATTACGCTTAACCCATGCCTCATGAAATAGTCACCTCTTATACGACGGGCCTTTGTGCAGGAACGTATACAATTGTTTTTGCGGCGACATGTGGACTTGTATCTGTAGAATGATGGAGCGAGACCTGCTTGAGGGATATGTTGGATCTCATTGAGAATCAGAGACAGCCTGATTATTCTGTCAAAGGAGGAATGCTTTTCTTGAGTGCATGTGCGAATGAAGCTATATGAGGTTATCAAAACGCTCGCTGGCTGCGTTTGGTCGGATATTTTGCTTCCATTTGAACGAAATTTATCGTGACTCTAGATCCTATAAACTCAACTTTCCTTTGTGATCTCATTATCGACATGGACCGGCTGCTCGATACTCCCAATACTAGTTGAGTTCTTTGGCATCCCGCTGATTAACAAGATCATGCTTGGGATCACAAGAGCCAGTACACCGCAATTAACATAGAGCGGAATGACGTGTTTGATGTGACTTGCTGAGCTTAGTCCGTACGACACCGCTTGTCCGGAGGTTTCGAAAGCGCGGAAGACACCTCCTGCGCGCGAAGCAACTTCAATATCTTTTGAATATATGCCCAGAATCCAGTATAATGTAAGCTGAGTCCAGTAACCTGTAACAAAGATTATCAGGTATGGCACGTAAGCTTTAGCCCATATTTTTGATTGCCTACTGTAGTTAGTATTCCAGTAATGATTACCACGTGAAAGTACTTACAATTTTGGATCCAGTGCAGACTTTTCACCAAGCTCATGGTATTCGTATGCAACCCAAATGAAACAAGCTATCTGTGGTAGTAACCAGGCCATCATTGCTGTCCACGCTCGACGACGCTGCGACCAAAGGGTACTGTCCAGTAGCTTGCCAAATGTGATGACGGATGGTATGGTTATGACCGCTGCTCAAGTCAACTTACAGATAGCTGCTATGAGATTGTACACTTACGGACTAATAAAGAGGACAAAGCGCGAGCTCGTACCGAAAAATGACGAGCTAGGTACGTGCCCATGGTTCCTCCATAGAAGAAAGAGTAAAATGATGGCAAGAAGATGAGCCAAGTCTGACAATCGTTAGTCATTGGGATTCAGCCTAACAGTTCATCTCTAACCTTATCTCTTTGCAAGTATACCCATAAAGCAGTAAATTCCTGTTTCCATGACGCTCGACGAGACATGGAAACTTTGCCACCATTGCGGCGACGTACTTTTGCGGTTGGAGACAGAAGAAACGCCCATATGAATCCAGTACATTCTGAATGTTGTCAGCATGAGAGCACCCAGCGACAGCATATGATTTACCAAGGCCAACGAATATCAGGTATGTTGTCCACGCGATACCTCCACTCCCTGCCCTGTCGTAGTTTGTTGAGAAGTTAATCGCACCGCCAATAACACTACCAGAATTTCGCATCGCAGACCATATACCTTCCTCGATCAGTACGAAGTTCGAAATGAATAATTGACAATCCACTCACCGAGGTAGAATCCACGGTCTTCCGGATTGGGATACGACAGCATCGCAGTGGTCTCGCCGACATAAAGGAACCCAGACGCAATACCTTTGGTTACCCATCAGTATACTTCGTGTTGAGGCCACGCGCAAACATGACTCACCTCCGATAACATTTGCAGTCAAGAGATATGATTCAACATTGTACCTCGCATTCACATAGTATGCAGATCCAAACAGCGGCATTGCCAGAGCCGCGATCATGCAAGACCATTTGATGCCAATTCTATTGATGACCGGACCCCCTAGAATAGTACTGCAAAAGCTCATTGTGTAATTCAGCGAGTTTGCAAGATTTGCTATCCATGGTGTGGATAGTCCTCCACCACCAAGATTGGAAATGGCATCCGACATGGCTGGTCCGACCAGTGATAGTCTGAGTGTTGATCAGTAGGATACTTGGCCCTGTGATGGGTTCGAGGCAACACTTACGCTCCAAACATTATCATCTGGAATAGCACGCTTCGAAAGAAAGTGGAAAATGCAGAACGAGGAGGTTCTTCCACAGAGCCGACTGCAACGTCAGCAACGCCATCGTCTGCAATCATGTTGGTAACGCCGGTGTCGGCCTTGATGTCTTTGTCTTGAAAAGATGCCATAATTAGGACTGTCTATTACCGAGCCCCTTGCTCTACTACAGGACGGAATGCAGCTCTACATATGCTAGAAGTCTCACGGCCATAGCTTGAGATGGATTCGTGGACTGGAACGGTCGCGGGGAACCCCACAGATAAGAGAGCCGGCCCGGGCTCTAGCGCGCAGTTTTCTCCACCTTTGGACCACTTTAGATAGAGATGATTGTAGTTTGTTTCGGCGTTTCTGCCATTGGTACGGATCTGTGCTAGCGTGAGGCACGGAAGCCTTTCCTCGTTTCAGTACTACGCCGGACCCGAGCAAACTTCACTGTAAAAGGCCCGCGTGCATACGTATGTACTATTGTAATCATAATGAGAGTAAAATTGCCCGTAATATTAAATGCTAAGACCCGACTCGATACCCAAAAGGTTAGCCAGGCAAGTGGCAATGCGAGTTGGATAATATGGGACAAAATGTACACCAACCATTGTTCAGCCTCCACCAAAATAAAATTAACTGCAACAGCCTGCATCATCGCAGAACGCCACTATTATCCACTTATCAAGATTAGTTAGAGCTGAAACTCTATATTTCTCCGGTCTCATCGCGTTGACTATTTGATTTTCCGCCATTCTGAACTGGACCGGACCGGTCGCGGAAGCACAAGGGACACGGCTTTGCGCATCGTACTCATGTAGGGAGCTAGATGAGTTGAGCACCGAGATAATCATACACGCCCTCTACGCGATTAAAAGCCTGCTCACTTGCTATCTCACAGAATACGCGTCCTAATGTCTTCCTTTTCTAACATGTCCAAGCCATTCGCGGTAGCTAACGCTGTACCCTCGTATTAGAGGAAAGAAGTTGGCTCGATTGACACACCAAAGCAGCACAGAACTCCGTACCAATGCTGACATCGCTGTTATTGGGGCAGGATATGTAGGTGCTTCCGTTATACATGACGTGATGGAAGAAAGCACCCGTGCGAAGCGCTGCGTTCCATCGATACTGATTGTTGAAGCCTGCGAAGCGTGTTTTGGTGTTGTAGACCGATATAGTACCTCTTATATATCACCTGTATTATTTACCAGCGGCGCGTAATTCATAGCTACTTTTTAGATGGCCACCTGAAGCTAGATTCATTATTGAGAGCAGCCAACGTACCCGAACGCCATGAGAAAGAAGTGGTCGAACACATGGTCTCTTCCAAGGCGCGCTAAGTGGATATGGCTGGTGAGCTGGTCGTACGCGAGCATATCAATTATGGCTTTAAGGAGATAAGAGTCGCTAATGCTTGCTTGTACTAGAAAGGGCAAGGTAAGATGAGAGCAAGTATTGATCGCATTACCGAAGTGTGCATACGCACAGCCAGTGGAATCAATCACTTTTCTAATACCCAAGATAGAGTGGTATCTGGCGTGTGAGGGGCAATGTCTTTCTATAAGTAAAATGATGCTCATCCATCGCCCCACTAACTGGTTACACATTTTTCGAAAAAATGATTGTAGTAGGAGTCAATCTACAGACGTTTACACCAGTGACTAGAGTTTAAGAAATGACAGTAGATGGCGGATTTCGGGTTTAATAGGTGGACACACCCTGCTGTTTTATCAAGGTTAAAACTATTACCTATGCCATGAAGGGTTATACTGCTGTGTTGATACTAGAAATCTAGGATAATGCTATGCTAGTAAGAGGTACGGTCGTGCGACTCGCAGCTATGAAGATACAAAAGATAGATAACAGCTGTATAATAAAGTTTTTGAATTACAAATCCGACGATATCATTCTTTGTCTTAATGGTAGCATCATAAGAGTGAGCGCGAAGAGGAACTTTTACTAAATTTTTTACGAATTGTACAAAGTTTTAGACAACAATAAGCTCCTTGAAGATATATAATGCTATTTTAATGATTACGTGCAATGTTACCTTCGAAAGTAGGAGGAAAGTGACGCTCATACTGATCGGATTTGGACTGGTAGTAAGTACCATATCTGAGCATTCCGTGATACGAATGTTCGCTGACGTTCTTGTTGTGGCTTAAGCACAAACTACTTGTTATCGCTCGTCTGCCACAAAATGGCGTTTCTCGGTGGGCCTGAGGTTCTCACGATCCATTTTGGACCGGATGTCGTCGTCTGTGCGACATCTTCGAATGAATCGGAGCACGTTATCAGTCTTTGTGACCGGTTTGGCCGGTGTGACCGGTGATAGAGGTCGGGCCGGCTATATGTACAGCTACACGTGACGTTAATTTTTGAGTGGAACGGCTGAGCGGCGGTAGTCGTTATCTCCGAGGGTGGACGGACAATGCAAGGTTGGAGTCAAGGAAGCAACCTCGGCTGCTTGACGCCGCTCTAGCCCCTTGTCCAACCCATCTTACGTGCCCGGAGAATCGCACCTCTAGCGTTACGATTACATTTCCGCGTCATACTTGTTGATATTGTTTACACTAAAAACACCGTCAAACAGGATATTGTGTTCTATCCGGAATAGTATCACGACTTTGCTATAATCTGCTAAGCCATATCCACCAGTCTTCCAGCGACAACGCCCATCTTTACCTCACTGAAGACATCGTGACAAGTCCACTTCTTGGACACCGAAGTCTATGCGCTACGGAAACCAACTTTCGTTGCGGCAGACATATCCCACATATGGTTAGCAGCAAACCATTCAATATTGTTCGCTCCTAATCGATCTCAAATGGCCTTGTAGCTTGAAAGAGCTGGTTTTGCTGAGCTAGCTGTATTACAACTTATAATACCGTCCTGTGGTATGTTTACACCGGCACGTTCGAAATAATCTGCAAGTCGCTTCGCGTCGGCAGTCGTTAAGTACTAAACTTTAAAGCCGTTGTTGTATAGCAATTGGAAAGCTTCTTCGAAACCTGAATGGAGTTTCAAATCTGAGTAGCTATTGATACACTGTTGTCGTTCTTCCTCTGCGGCTAGGTCTCGAGGTTGTGCAACACCAAAAAGGCTGAGTGTGCGGTAGAATACTCCATAAAGAACATCCTTATAAGACTTGTAGCTGGCCTAGATTAACAGAAACAAGAACTCAAGTTCATTAGTAGTTTTCCAAGTGAAGCCGAAGTGCTGTGTGGTCATGGTATGGTTCCGGAGCTTCTCCCTAGGACAGATTCGATGTAGTCGTAGTATGTGTCGAAACCTACGCAGGTCCCAACGATGTCGAAAATGATGCGCTCCTGAGGCTTGGGCATAATAGTGATATGGTTGTGAAAAAGAACATGTTTTGGAATCGTGAAAATATCTTGAGAGAGTCAGCCAAGATTAGGTCTTGAATATGCTGTTAGTTGTCGTGTTCGGCTACATAGGCACCCGCCACTTATGCTCTCGCTTAATGCACGCCAGACAGGCCCCACAGCTTATCAGAACCGGGCCGGTCGTTGGGCATTTTCCCAGAGAGGGAATGACTCTTCTGTCACGGCCGGCTCGATATCGGCTCTGACGCCCGCTGCCATGATTGTGCTCCTTATATAGTTGAAATGATCTTTTAGCTTCAATGAGTGTAAAGCCAAGATCGTAATTTTGAAATAGCACAAAAAATGGTTCTCCCAGTCTCTGATCCTACCAAATCCTATTGGATTGAGGCCGCTGAATCACCTCTCCGGAGTTTTCGTTCCAGCGAAGTCTTGCCAGAGGAGACTGACATTGCAATTATCGGGAGCGGATATGCGGGTGCATCCACCGCCTACTGGATTCACAAGGTGTGTGCGCAGCCCAAGGCATATATACCAGGCTATACTCATCGAACATTAGGGGACTGAAAACGCAGAGAGGCAACCCAAAGTGACTGTCCTAGAAGCACGAGATATTTGCGGGAGTGCCACTGGGCGCAATGGTAAGGGGTCATCTAAAATGATAGAATGAGTGTTTAACAACGAGAAGGGGGTCAATTGAGACCACATATATATTCCCGGTATCCGGTGTGGCGGGGGCGTTTTGGGGCTGATGGCGCAATGGAACTAATCACTCATGAGATGGCACATCTTGAGGCTTTCAAAGAGCTTTGCGAGCAAGAAGGCATTACTGAAGAAGTTTGTCTCAAGTTTGGCGAAACTTTTGATGCTGCCATGACCGAGGAAGCATGGAAACGCCTTAAAGGGGCATTGGAAGCCATGCGAGACGATTACGGTGATGATAATGAATTTGTGAAAGTATGCAGGGTGATTGAAGACCCTACACAAGCAGAAACGTTCACGCAAATGAAGGGAGCACTCGCAGCTATAGTGCATCCCTCTGGCCAGGTGTTGGTCTCCATACCTCCTGTTCACTCAATTTCTGACAAGACTCAGATGGCCCTACAAGTTTGTCCATGCTCTCTTTCGTATCTTACTCCAAGCGGGCAACATGTCTTTGCATGCGAATACCCCAGCCATTGAGGTGTCGGAGCGAGATTCCAAAGGCTGGATTCATGTAAAGACGACTAAAGGAAGTATACGTGCCAGGGCTGTCGTTCACACTACTAATAGATGGGCCTCTCATCTCTTACCAGAATTTGATAAGCTCATCATTCCCGACAGAGGAAGTATGAACGCAATCAAAGCACCGCCTGGATTCATCAAACACACTGGTGCTCAGCACTGGGACAGCACTGTTAATGTAAGGATCCAAAACCCCATTTTCTTGCTTTAGCAAAGCTACCTTTCAAGACAGAACTACCACCTTCAATTGCCAGCGCCTTACAACACTATCATGCTCGGAGGCGTACGACCAATCATCATCCATACTCCAGAAAAAGTCATGCCAAACGACCAAGAAGATAAACAGTTCGTGGGAGTGTCCGACTTCTGCAAATCATGGCCAGCATCCGACATCAAAGACTGGCCAGGACCGGCTATGGCAGAGCTCGGCAAGCCGGCTGACGAGGGTGGCTGTTGGACGGGAAGTATGGCCATCTTTGAGGACATGCGCTTACTGGTCCGTACGTGGCTGATCATTTTGCAGTCCAAGGAGAAAGTGTAGACGGTTTTCCGTTCGTGGGCTCTGTCCCGGGTCATGAACATCAATTCATCAATGCTGCGTTCACAGGACATGGTGCGTGGGAGATAGCCTCTTTGAGGAAGCACTTGGACTAATTAGCAAAGGAATGCCCCGAATTTTACTCGCTTCCGCCCACATCGCGCCCCTGGTACTAGATGCCATTGGATTTCAGCACACTCCGCCGCGCCTCGCTGCGCCATATCCAGCCTTGCCTGAGCCATTCCGTGTAACTAAAGATCGGATCAATATGCTGCGAGCTGAGAACAAATGGGAAGAAAAGGTTAAGTCATTCAATACGAGTTGTGAAGCAAGCGCAACAAAGTCTTGCTGTAATGCAGGCAGAAGATACATTACAAGAGTTTAGTTTCAGGAGATGAATGGCGGTATGTTTTTCTACATACTGCGACATGCTGTCTGGAACACAAAGGGCCAGTTAGATGGCCTCTGCCGAAGCAGACTAGAACAGATTGCCTCGATTGCTTTGTTCTTGTCGAACGCCACAATACTGGTCCTGGTTGTCATAAGATCTCATATGCATCATTTCAGCTTGAAGAACAGTTCTAAATAGCTAGACTCACACCAAATGTCAGAATATCACTTGCCAGGGCGAGCTGTTAAAATCGTTGAGTCACAAATCATAGCTGCTGCGCATACCTTACAGTATTTGAGCGGAGATTCGTAAGGCTGCGTGTTAGGAAATTTATGCACGCACGACTTGAGATTGCTCCGTTATAGCTGCGTTGGATTTTGCATTAACTCGAACAAGAGGTACTTCGTTTCATAAAGTTTTCGCGTCGTATTTCCTTGCGGTCCCATTTCGACTCGTTAATCCAAAGAACGTACGGCCATTAACATTCTTCTGAACGTCCCACCAAAACATCCATTTCGCATCGCAGTAGCATAACTTTTGCTGTGTTCCCCAGAACCACATGACTCTTCCCACACATGTGCAACATTTGCAGACCTGTGTTGTTATCTATCATATCGTCAGCAGCAAGAGGAAGATCTTCGCATGCCATCTTTGCTTTCTTGGTGTCATCTGCTCCATCGATATATCGTAGTATCTGCTCGTTCCATCTGAACTTGTTGTAACACGCGTTGGTGTCGATAACGGCGGCGCAATCGTGTGAGTTGGCAGTTTCCATGGTGCATTTGGGATATGTTTGCGCAGTGATGAGAGTGGCAAGGATGCCAGTAATGATGTACGCAATGCGCATCCTGAGTTTTAGCGATTTAGTAGTGGATTTATGGACTTTACCTATAATAACGTCGGGAGTGTTAGCGTATCAAACATAATTCGCCCTAGGTAGAGTACTTCGTGTAGAGAGTTAGGTCTAGATAGAGACACTAAGATATATTTCCTAAATAAGTAATAACGTGTTTCACCACCGAACCGCCCACCCCACCGAGCGGCCCACCTCTCTATACTCTTACACCCTTATAATAGTATTGCGCAACACCACCACAATTTTTGTTATTAAGTAGAATAAGATATTATTCTTTAGACGCGTTGCTATCCTCTATATCCTCTAATTCTACTT